GAGACGGCTCGCAACCTTTGTCACTCCAGTTCTGTTGGGCTGATGCCTTTGTTTGGCCTCCATGGGCATTGCATGAGTATGGGCATAGTACACAGATGCACATACAGACGAAACACCCATACATGTAAATAAAAATAAAGTTAAAAAAAGAAAAAAGATGAGCCACCATTCTGAATATGTGCTCTTTAAGTTTACACATGCTTTGAGTTCGTCTTAGAGCCTGTTTTTGTTAGTCATGTGATAACAATAGAATTTGTTCTTCATAATATTGTTTTAAACTTAATAAAGGTGAAGCTGTTTGGTAAGAGGCATTTTCTGTGACATGTCTAGATAAAAACAAGGGGCTTTTGTGTTTGAGAGACATTGCACACTGGGAACTTCTGAGTTACCAGTGATTTAAAATTGGCCCCTAGAGGGAGATGTTGTATTGAAAATCTACATCTTGTTTGAAGGGCTGTTTTATGTTGTCTTTCTAAATTACACGAATGTGTGTTAAACCCCCTCAACAGTGCACAAAATGATCCTATGTTACTTAATAGAAATTGAGTGTATTCAAATTTACAACTGGTACCATTTTGCAGGGAACAAAATTTAAGACATAGATCGATGATAAACTTTGAAGAGAATATGACAAAAATACATTTTAAAATGTGTCAGCTTGAGCAATTCCACACTGTGGAAGTAACATGGCATAGTAGAGGTCTTTTCTTGGGAGGAAGTGTGATAGAGGGAATTTAAGGGATAATTCAGAAATTTCCTTGTTGGGATTTGGACCACTTGAACCTGTGGTTCAGGTAAAAGTGCTCCTGACTAACTGGAGTTCAAAACTCCACAGCCATGTAAAAGTGGGAGGAGAGACTGCAGAAGACTCTCTCTCTCTCTCTCTCTCTCTCTCTCTCTCTCTCTCACACACACACACACACACACACACACACACACACACACATACACACAAAGAAAATTTGATTCTTTTCCCCTGCCTTTGGATAACAGCAGTGCACCTGTTTGAAGACCCCACTCATCAACAGGTGTGCAGGTGTGCATACATTTGTTCAGCGACCTACTCTGTACAGGTTGGACTTTCTTTATTGGTGAGAGCCACCCCTCAATCTTGAGTTAGTGCTAAGTGCAGGGTTGAGTATCATGAGTTCAAGCCAACCTTGACTATAAAGTGGGACACAGAGAAAAGTGACAAACTGCCAATACAGGTGGACAGTTTAACATTTTCTGCTTTGCTGAGGAGTCTGCCAGGCACACTATGGCCTCTGGGCTAAAGATGGAGCATTACAGAAGAACTTTGGGTGACTGACCAGGCGAGTTGTCTCTGTCATTTCTAGAGTTTATATATTATCCTTCTGTGGTCTTTGATGAAGTTAAAGACAGATAGTTAATGGTTATAGTTTTCCTGAGTTAGGACTAAAGATAAGTTACTTATAAGACTTTAGAATAACAAAGATAGGATAGCTGATAAACTATTTTCTTTAAACCTTACTAAATGTTAGTGAACTAAATATTGTTAATTATAGTTCTTACTTGATAACTGTTTTGTTATATATTTTACTATGTTAAAGTTAAACCCCTTTTTATTTAGACAGAAAAGAGGAGATCATGGGAGATATCATTCTGTAAATATGTTTCTCTTATTGGTTAATGAATAAAGCACTGTTGGCAAATAGGAAGGCAAGATAGGTGGGACTAAGAGACAAAGAGGATTCTGGGAGAGGCAGGAGGAGATTCAAGATGTAGGGACTTGAGAAGAAGGTCCAGCCCCTCTCTCCAGTAAGATAAAACCACGTGGAAACACTTAGATTAATAGAAATGGGTTAATATTTAAGACAGAGATGGCCAGTAAGAAACACTAGGCTGGCGGGGAAACTGCTTGTAACACATACCTGTAGTAGTTTCTTTTTAATCAAGCAAGTCACCTTCAAAGCACATAGAAGGCCTGTGTGCCTTCTTTCCCAAACAACTTCTCATGGCAGTTGTCTGTGTCTTCTCTGTAGAATTTGGTTTGATGGTGCCTATTTGGTTCCCCTTGTCACTTCAGAGAAGGGCCATTGCTCATGTTCTGATGTACAGTAGATGCCTCCTTCACATGACCCTCTGCTCCCTCTTGCATGGGGTCTCCCTGTGCACTTGGCATCATTCTCATCTGCGTTCCTATCCGGTGACAAGGTTCATTCTGTTTTTGTCTTTGGTATGGCTCAAACTTAGAACCCCCCCCCCAACCTTTTCATTTGTTTGTTTTGGTTTTTGTTGTTGCTGTTTTGTTTTTCCAAGACAGGATTTCTCTGTATCTCTGGCGGTCCTGGACTCGCTTGCTCTGTAAACCAGGCGGACTCACAGACATCTGCCTGCCTCTGCCTCTGCCTCCGGAGTGCTGGGATTAAAGGTGTGTGCACAGCCTCCTCATTGCACTTGACAGGCAGTCCCTCCTGCTGGTGCTGTACTTGTATCAGTCTGTGAGTGCATCTGAGTATGGACATGTTTGGCACTGGGTGTTTTCAGTGGAGGAACTGACCAGACCTGAACTACAGTCAGAACCTGCAGGGTGGGATTCAGACTCTGCCGTGCAGCATGGCCAGTGAAGAGGGAGAGGCTGCCCTTCAGTTAGTTGCTTTGACGTTTATTTTATTATTTCTTGCATGAGTGTGCACAAGTGTGTGTGCTGCATATGTATGGAGCACATATGTTGGGTTCCAGGAATTGAACTCAAGTGGTCAAGTGGTCAGGCCTGCATGGTACATGCTAACTTCCTGAGCCATTGTGCTGGCCCAGTTTTTTCCCCCCAGTTTTTATTTTTCCCCCCTCTTGAAGATCTATTTACTTATTTTTGCATGTATGTTTTCCTGCCAGAAGAGGGCATCAGATCCCATTACAGATGGTTGTGAGCCACCATGTACTTGCTGGGAATTGAACTCAGGTCCTCTGGAAGAGTAGCCAGAGCTCTTAACCTTTGAGCCATCTCTCAAGCCCCTTGGCACAGGGTTTTATTTTTCAAATTTTATTATTTTGTATTTTGTGTTTGAATGTCATAGTGCACATGTGTGGAGTCCTGTTCTAGTTTGTTTTCTGTTGCTGTGGTAAAACACTGACCAAACTAACTTCCTGGGGGTAAGGGAAGAAAGGGTATATACTTCAGTACAGCCCAGTCCATCATTAAGGAACCCAAGGCAGGGGCTTCAGCGGGCGCCATAGAGGAAAGAGCTTGCTTTCTCCGTGTGTGTGTGTGTGTGTGTGTGTGTGTGTGTGTGTGTGTGTGTGTGTGAGACAGAGCCTCACTGTTTGCTCTGGCTGCCCTGAACTCACTTTGTAGACTAGGCTAGCCATAGACTCACAGTGATCTATCTGCCTACCTCTGCCCCACCGCCATGCCTGGCTTCTTATATAGCCCAGGACCACCTGCTCAATATATATAAAAAATATTTTTTATTTATTCATTGTTTATGGGTGTGTGCATGCCATGGTACATATATAGGTCAGAGGTCAACTTTTGGGGAGTTGGTTTTTTAAAAGGTCTTCATCTCAAAGTCAGTGACTGCACTGAAGTCTTTTTTGGAGGTGGGATGGATCTTACTCTGTAGCCCAGATAGGACTCAGAACTCATGATTAATCCCCTGCCTCAGTCTTTGATGTGCTAGAATTACAGGCTTGTATACCTCAGTGCCAGGCTGAGGTTGAAATTCCTAAAGGCAGATTATGTTTCCTTTTCAGATGAAGCTCGGTGCTTCTTTGTATTTGAGCTTCTTGGAGCATTTTGAAAGTTTCCATGATTGTTCACAACCTTATAGATGAGTTTGGGAAGCAACTGGGCTTTTTAAAAATTATTATTAAAGCTGGGCAGTGGTGGGAGGCACAGGCAGGTGGGTGCCTGTGTTTTCGGGGCCAACCTGGTTTACAGAGGGAGCTCCAGGGCAGCCAAGGCTACACAGAGAAACCCTGCCCCCCCCCATCAAAAATTATTATTTATTTTTTGTGTCTGGATGTTTTTCCTTCATGTTATCTGTATACCATGTACATGTAGTACCCATGGAGGCCAGAAGAGGGCATCAGATCTGCTGGAACTAGAGTTGTGAGTGCTGGGCACTGAACTTTAGTCCTCTGCAAAAGCAGCCAGTGCTCTGAGCCACCCAGCCAGCACCCCGTGTGTGTGTGTGTGTGTGTGTGTGTGTGTGTGTGTGTGTGTGTGTGTGTGTGTGTGTGTTGAGGGGCTGGGTATGTGGGCTACTCACTTAGTCTCGGGACCTCAGTTTCCTTTTCTGTGGAAAGATTTATCTCTGTCGTCCTGTCTTTCTGTGCAACTACAGGGCATAGGAAGGAAGTTGCCTGTACATTGACTTTGAAAGTGTAAACACACACTATGGCCCTGGACATAATAAAACCATCTTAGAAAGAAACAAAGGAACCTTGTACTGAGCAGAGCACACCCCAGTGAAAGCCCTGGGGTCACCCGAAAGTTAAATTCCATGTAGTTTGCTTCCACGGCAGATTTTAAAAACAAAACAAAACAAAAACAAAAAAACAAAAAAACTTTGGGCTTAGCAAAACAAAACAAAACACTCCGAAACTTGCTGGGCTTTCTTCCGCAGACACTGGCAGCCTCTGACTCCGAAGAGGAAAGACTCCTCACCCCCTGCGCCTCACTCCTGCTAACTCTGCATGCGCCCAGAGCCTGAGTCTGTGCCGAGGTTCCAGTGAGCATGCTCGGCCCCCACCTCCCAAAGCCGAGGAAGCTGGTTTACATACGAGTCATACCAAGCATAGCCAGCATGTCAGAGCAGTCAGCTTGCAGCGGGCTGTGAGGGAGAGTGCCTTTGTCCTAAGAAATGTGCTTTGTGTTTTTCTTTTTTTACTGCTTCTTTTTAAACCCTTAAGGCAGGCTTTGGAAGACTGCTGACATGATTTTTTAAAGTCGAGTAGAGGACGCAATACAGACACTGCCTTCTAATAAGCCCTTGACGGGTTTTGTTTGAATCTGATTTTTTGTGTGGTGTGTGTGCATGATCTTTTTTTTTTTTTTTTTTTTTTTTTTAACTTTTACATACTTTGTTTTGATCTTGTGAGGCTGGGCCTCTCTCTGTCTTTCTGAAGTTTTTGAGGAGCCTGGAGCTACTCAGCTAAGACTGAATTTTGAAACTTTCTCTTTGGGGGTGAAAGCAAAGAACTTCTTTTCTTTGCTCGCTGGACAGATAAATGCTGTTTATGAAGATGGACCTGTTGAACTACCAGTACTTGGACAAGATGAACAACAACATCGGTGTTCTGTGCTACGAAGGTAGATGCTCTAGAATGGGCTTCTTTTTTATATTTGTAGCGGCCCCTCCTCCTTGGGGATGTGTGTGGGGGGATTATGATCAGCTTGCGAACATTTTCTAGTCTTTCTTGGGATGGTGGAGTGCCTATAGGGAGAGAGTCCTGTAGTATTCATTTCAGGATAGTTTGCTGGTGCCTGGCTGGATAGTGGCAGCAGAGAGGGCTGGAGGGGACACATTGTTACAAGTTTGCTTCCAATGTACTGACAAGATCTGACAAGACTGTTACACTTTAAATTCTTTTCTTTTTTTGACTTTGTTGCCATTTTGTGTACGGGAGGAACTTACAGGAACAAGGAGAAGTTAAACATGTGGGTGTTAGAGCAGAGGGGAGGGGCTCTGAGACACATTTTTAAACATCACGGTGTATAGTATTGTGTGTACTCTTGCTCTGGATTTTGTGTGGTGGAGGAGCAACCAAAAAGCCACAATGAGTTTTTGTTTTCTGGGGCCGTTGTCTCAGACATTGAGGGTTTTTTCTTTCTTTTTTTTCCCTGTGGAGTTTGTGGGGCTGGCAAGGCCTGGTGTCAGGGAGCCCAGGCCGGCTCTTTGTCTGCCGCCCCATTTCCTGTGACAGTGAGACAGGCTCCCTCCAACCCCGGCCCTGGCGATTACACAACTCTGTTGCCAATAGGCTAAAGAAAAGTGCAAAGTGCCCCCCCCCAGATACCCCCCTGGAGTGGGGAAGATGAGAAAACCCCAGTTCCATCTTCTGAAATTTTACCTACGTGCCATTTGAGTTCAGGGTAATGGCCTGGTTGAGCTTTGGGACTGCAGGGCAGGGAGAGAGTGGGGGCTGCCAGGGAGTCTTTCCTGGTAAAAGCATGTAGGAATCAGGGCACATCTTCCTGCTGGGGGCTTGGGTGCTGTGTTTCCTCCCATGGTAAACTCAGTGGGCATTTGCTTTTTCTTGGACAGAAGTTAAAGCCGGGAGCAGAGTCAGTTGTGTTTTTGTGTAAAAGTTTCAGATCTGTTTCTTAAAGCAGTTGAAAACACCCTTTCTCTTTCAAGCTTGTCTTAAAATTAACTCTATGGTTAAGAATCTTGTATTTGAAGTGTTTTCATTTTTGTTGCTGTTGTTTTTTGTTTTAAAATAAGATACAACTTTACTTTGACAAGTTTCCTCTATATGTAAGGAAACTAGACTCCCTCATCTCAAAGGCTGGATTTTCAGAAGCGGTTTCTGGTGGGATTCATGTATTGTCTTTAAAAAAAAAAAAAAAATCCAAACCTCCAACCCCAACAAAAGATGAGAACTTTTTAATGTGATTTCTTTGTCAACAAGTAATCTGATATTTAAAAAATAAAACGGCGAGGAGCCCTGAAGCTGCCAGGACACTGGGGCCGGGGCTGTTCCTGTGTCTAGGGAGGAAGTTTAGCAGCTCCCCCAGGTGGGCGTGCATATGCCAGCAGTTAGTTGTCTTGTTTCCTTCACTGTTTGGAAGAACAGACTTTGATTTTGAGAGCTGAGTGGATGTGTGGGATCATAGGCTATCGTCTGTTTAGTTTAAACATCTGCTCCCGTTTTCCTTATTATGAAAGGTAATATTATTCTAACACCAAAATAAATACACAGGAAATGAAGAAAAGTACAGCAAAACCAGAGTGTCGTTTGGAGCCGGTTGTTTACGTGCCCTGGTTTCCTCACTGTAAACACCACACACATCTGGTCTCAACTGCCAGGGCCGTGTGGAGGATGGGTATAAATTGTACGTGGAATTCAGAGGTGGACCTGGTGGCGCACACCTGCAATCCCAGAACTGAGAAGGCAGACAGAGGCAGGTGGATCTCCGTGAGTTCGAGGCCAGTCCGCTCTGCTTACTGAGTTCCAAGACAGTTCCAAGACAGGGCTACATAGTGAGACCCTGTCTCACACAAACAAAGAAACAAACAAACCCAAAAGAAAAGCTGGTCCAGTTTAAATGAAGTGCATTGCGACAGTTTGCACTGCACATATCGGCCCTCCAGAGTGGCCAGGGCAGTTATGTGGAACATGAGTGGATGGGAGGGGGGGAGACAAACTCAAGTGTTTGCCTTGTTGGCTTTAGAAGTGAAGGTGCAGGTGGGGGCACTTTGCTTGCCCAGGTTGCTTCTCCACACTTCGGTGTGTTGGGTGATTGGTGTTCTCGCCATCTTCCTTCTCTCAGTAGCTCCCATGAAGATGGGTCAGTCACTTACCCTGCAGCTCACAAGGACTCTTGGATCTTACTTTCGAATCCACTCTAGCTTGTCCTCCCTCTTTGAGGTCTTGAGTAGGAACCTACATTATCTTCTGCTAAATTCTACCTTCTCCTACTGAGCCCCACGATAGCCCAGACCTGTTCTAAATGGCTGAGGTCACTCCTTTTCTGGTAACTGCATCCTGTACCTACCCTCATAGCCACCTACAAAGAGCATTGAAAGGCCAGTGTAGGCTCTGGGGAGCAGAGATGTTCAGACAGAAAATTAACTTGTGAGAACCGGTTTGTACACTAATGACAAATGACTTAGTAAAATTGCTTGTGTTGTTGATTAGGCTCAGGAGCTTCATGGCCTCTTAACCACCATGCCCAAGAGCTAACCACTTCATCCTGCCTCATTCTTTTGGTTGGTCCCATTGTCTTAAGGAAGTTCAATATTGCCTGTCTCCATAAAACTGGCCGACCCCAGCCAGCCCTCTTACCGTTTCCTGTTTTAACTCACCCTACTGAATGGCCACAAGCCTCATGAAGACAGGGTGGCTGCCTTGGTGATTGCCACAACTCCAAGGCATGCTCATGCCCTCTGGGGCTCCAGGACATGGTTTATGGTGAAGCTGGACTCATCCGAAAAAGTCTGCAGGCCTTCCCCTGGTGGCTCTGTGTTAATTATAGACTGTTGTTTTCTATTATTAACTCACCACCACAGAGGCAAGAAGGTTCTCAGACATCATCTAAGACCTTCACCTTATTTTGGCTAAGGAAATGGAGGCCCAGAGTTTTCTTTGTTCAGGTGAATTTGGGGATTTGTTGCAGGGCTGAGGTAAGATTGGAGCCCAGGGAATTTCTGTCTTCTCTGGACCTCTTATTTCCATGGTTACTGTTCGTCTAATCTCTGCTCGCATCCTTAGGACTATGCATGCTGGGGTTGGGGTAGGGTGGCTCACATCCCAGCTTGCAGGGCACTGTCCTGATGCCAGCTGGTCCAGGTTCCAAGGCTGTCTGATGTTCAAGGAAGAGTAGTGATGCTAGCTGCAGGTGACCTACTTTCTAGAACTTTCTCTCCCTGCCACTATAGAATATGGAATGAGATTGGAGGAGGAAGAGAAGACTTTCTAGAGGTGAGATCCCCGAGAGTGAGCCCTCCAGGAAGCAGAAAAGAGTGTGGGGGTATTCAGGGTGGCTGACAGCTGTATTTACAGAATTACCCAGTTCTGAAAAGTTAGGTCCTAATAAATTCCCATGGTTGGCTGTGGCTGTAAAATGCTGTTAGTGATTCTTCAATTATGGGTTAAGAGCCATTAGTGTGCAGTTTGGTAGAAGAATTCTCTCCTTTTAATTTAATAGTGTGATTTGTCTTGGGAGAAAGTGAGGGTAAATGGCATATTGTGATGGGCTCAAAGCTTCAGAGGGGAGCATGGAGGGGTTCTCACTCAGGGCTTAGAACTGTTGCTTTAGGACAAAGTTGCCACTTGTTCACTGCAGGCTGCATTCAGATCCATTTTCCAGGACCAGAAGAGAACATACACTTGGGCTGCCCAGCAGAGTGAGTGAGGCCCTGCAAGTCTGGGCACGGGGCTCTTTTGTTTCTTGCCAGTCTACCAGCAACAGGTTGACAGAGGCCTGGCTTTATTGTTCTTTGTCTGAGGAGTTCAGAGGCTTTGGGAAGCTTTGGAACCTCCAATGCTTTTGGGAGAAAAGGCCACAAGAGCCAGGCTACAAGTCCCAGGGTTGGCTCCAGCTGACACATAGACCAAGTGACATGGTCTTGGTCTGGATGTAGTCTTTGGTGGTGTATCTGTAACCATTTTACTGTGGAAAGTCATTCAATTTTAGTACCTTACAGGTGTGTGTGTGTGTGTGTGTGTGTGTGTCTGTGTGTGTGTGTGTTGATCTAGAAGCCCAGGTGAGGTGCTTATGTTTCTGCTAATTACAGCTTGTGCCCGGAAGGTGTGATTAGAGCCTCCTTCCTTCCAGCTCCACGCCCATTATTCTCAATCCCCTTCTGTAAGGATTGTTTGACTTGGGCTGTTATCTCTGGAAGCCAGCCTTTGGCTTGTTAGAAGTCAGCCTTCTTTTGCCTTGTGTTCCTAAGGTGTACGGGTTCATTGCTGTGAAGCAAGTTTTTAAACTTGTGCTGTATAGATATAAAGAAATCTCTGGGCCAGGGAGATTGCTCCGTGGGTAAAGGTAATTACAGCCAAGCTCCTTGGTGACCTGATTTCTGTCTCTGGGACCCACATGGTGGGAGGAAAGAATTGACTCCCAAAAAACTGACTCTGACCTCCACCCACACTGAGCCCTGGACACTGCCCCCTTCCCAAATAAGTGAAAGAGAAGAAGGGGTGGGGTCCCTGTGGGGTGTTCAGGGCCTCTCAGCGCAGTCCAGCTCTGCTTCTCTGCCAGAATGCTGGAGAAAACTGTGTTTTGTCATAGGGAAATTAGATCCAGACTTAGCCCTTCACTTGTATACAGAATCTATAAAAAAGTCTTCTCAGGGAACGTTCCCGCTGTATCTGCTTCATCTCTGTATTTAATGTTTATTTAATGACAGTTTATGTTTAATGCTATTTGTATATTTAGCTCATGGTAATTATTTTTTAGCCTCGCTCAGCAGTGTAAGTATGAAGCAGACCCCCCCTCCCTTTCTTATTTGGAAATGAAGTCATGCGGTAGTTGTCCTCCTATAAAAGCAAACACATTCCCCACCCCCACCCCCACCACAGGTGCTTTATTTATTTTTGAAATGGTTTCTCTCCTATTTGCACCATCATTCCTCTGCACAT